AACATGGAACTGTAAACAGCATAAAGAACACTTCATTGTGGAGCCTGGTATTACATGACGATAACATGACAGCTTTGGGGAGAGAACACGATTGCTGTGTTGTCATATATATATAACACTAAGGACAAAGAAAAACAGTTTAAATGGTAAATTGACCGTTTTTTATGCGTAACATTTACATTTAACCCTTATCTTCATGCCGATATTGCATGCAAATGAGCAACATTTCATCTTTTAAATACAATGCTACAAGCCTGGTAATCTGAGGGTAGGAGTCAAATCTTTGCTTTGCATGCACACACACACACACACACACACACACACACACACACACACACACACACACACACACACACACACACACAAAACTGGGTAACAGCCAGGAATCTTGTGGTGTGGGTTTAGGGTGAAGGCTAGACTGGAGAAAAGAGCCAGGGTGCTCAGAATTACTGTAACAGAAGAAACAGGAGTCAAGGGGTGTTCCAGACACTGATCCAGGGTGAAACAGACAAATTGTGAACAGTCCGGGTTAGCAGTGAGTCAAGATTGGAGATCTGAGCTGTTCCAGTGAGTTGGGCAGGGAGGCAGGCAGGAGCATGAGCAGTGAAGCTGCCGAGCAGACCAGTGACTGAACAGAGATTTGGTTATTGGAAGTTAGAAGCTGGAGATCCAATAAACTGGAAGAAAACAGCACTCACCCTGACCATGACAATTTGTATGCAAAGAAAGATTTTTGAAAGACAAAAAGCTACAACTGAATAAATTGTGTATAAATGTATTGGATGTACACATTTGTAAAATAGCTGTACATGTAGTCATATTGCTTCAAATTTGTTTGTGGATTGGCGCATGCATTTGTTAGTACTCAAAAGTTACACACAAATTTACGGTACAATTTACAATTTACAATTTACGGTTTGCAAAGATTATTTTAAGCTTATGGATCATATGGTATGCATTCATAGCCATTTTGGGGGTAAATATCTCTCCATAGTAATGTAGCATGGGGGACATGCAGGCTCAGCAAACACATGGATGTGGGGTACATGTAGCCGCTGCACAGTGGAGTCTGGGTGGGAAGCCAACTGTTGATCCCAGTGTTGGTGTGAAATGTAGGATACATCTGGGCACCGCAGTGTGTGACCCAGGCAAGGATGGTGTGGGCAGATCAGTTTTGGTAGTAGACTATGGGCTCAAATTGTACAGAAACCCACAGAGCCCAGCAGCCAGGGCAAGAAATTCTGGATCCTTTGCTTTTAGTTAGCAGTTAGCATTAGCAGCATATCCTGCGTCCGCACTGTGACTCACAGCAATGGTCCCGGGTCAGCCCTGACTTTGTGTTAAACTAATCCTAAAGTAATGATGGTATTTCTAACTACTGATATACCACAACTTTATCCTTTCAACAGCTGCTGAAAGTTAGGGGACCTAACTGCTATCGGATATTTATATAGAGATCCTCCAGCTTCAAACTGTATTACCCTTCAAGGACCTGCAGTTCAAAAAAGCGCCCTGCCGACAGCCAAACCCATCTGTTCTCTGATTGGATTGTTAAATTTGTGATTGACATGACATTGACCAATCAGATGAAAGAAAGAAAAATAGGGTCAAAATTCGTCATTGTAACTTGCAGTTTCACATGTTTTTTTTTTTGGGCTAAGTCCACACACAAATCTTTTTTACACACATAAAAATCTTTTTTACACATACAAATCTTTTTTACACATACAAATCCTTTACAAGTACAAAACTGATTTACAAGTACAAAATATTTATGACCACAATTTGAGCCCATAGTAGACAACTCCAGAGGAGAAAATCACGTCCTGTTTAAGGAGCCAGCTCAGACTTATAATAATAATAATTCACAAACCAAAAGCTCAGTCTTGATGACCTGCTCTGACATTGGAAGGAAAGAAGGTGATGCGTGGGTTTGCTCACTGTGGAAACAGAGTTAGGCTTTGTTTTTGGTTTCCCCCCCCATTTCCTCCCTGTTGACATTCTGAGCTGGAGCTTCTGCTTCAACCTGTGGTGGAGTTCCTGGCAGCTCATTCCTTCCTGCACCTGTTCTTAATGAAGGAACCCATATTTGAGGGGCCGACAGGAGCCACAGTCCTCTGCCAGATAATCCTCTCTGCTATGTCAACAGTTAACCCTGTCTTGTTTTTGTTTAACCTTAGTATATTATTGCCATTTACCCAGATTTTCTGCTTTCCACACAGGAACTTGTCTGAATTTACTGTTGGAAATTGGTTTGCTTAAACCTCATGTCACCTGTGCACTGTGGATGCTGCTGGGACCATTCCCTTTAGCCTGCTAGCTGAAACCTGTAAAGAAGGAAATCACCAGCTAACCACCTCCCTGCCCACTCTCTCTCTCTCTCTCTCTCTGTTCCATCCCAGGATCCGTGGACCGACCACGGCTGGACCCGTAAACCTTGCAAATTGTCTCTCATTTTTTGACAAATAAATCAGGTTTATGGTCAAGTAGAGGTGGCGCGTTTGCAGTCTGCTCCAGTCCGGGGATTGCCTGTCTGTCTGTAGTGAGCTCTGTTTTCAGAGTGACGCGGTTTGTAAAGAATGTGGTTCAACAGTTTGTGGAAAAACTCTTGCTTGTGCCTTTAGTGAAACTCAATCAGACAAAAGTGGTGCAGTTTCTAGACGTGGTTTTCACATCTTTATTGATGCACCAGACAGATAATCTATTTACGAAACATTTAGTGGTAAATGTGGTAGGCATGCAGTGAGCTGTTCTGAAAAACAGGATCCATTGTGGTTGCAGTATCATTTGCATGGTTCAAATGTGCTGCATACAGATGAAACAGAAAATGTCAGTGAAATGTGTTTCTCCCTTTTAATTCATTTTTCCTCATGGGTGAAAACATTAAAGAAATCATATGTTACATTCATATGTGAATCCAGGAACTTGCTGTTTATGTAATATTGTGAGGATTATTAATGTCTGATAACAAACAAAGTGTTTTATGAAGTTAATTTTATTTTCATGCAATACAATGTGATTTTTATGAGATATTCAGAATCTTTGATGCAGTTGTTAACATATATTATAAGCACATAAGCTGATAAAATCAGATATAGCAGTGTTAAGCTAGTGCTGTCTCAACAGTCTGATGAGGATTCCACCCCCATCAGACTGTTTTTCGTTAACTACACCCCCTCAGTCACTGTACACAAGTGTCCAGCCCCTGAACTCTTAAGAGGTTTTTTTCAAAACTCAGGCTGTTTGATTTCGTGGCTCCTTAATGTCTTGGATATTTATGCTGAATAAATGAGACTTTAGAAGGAAGAAATGGTAAGACATGGATCATTTCTATACTGTAGCCAGTGGTTAAATATCATTAGTTTTGTTCATTCTGTTACCATTAACACAATAACACATTAACACAATAATAAAATTTCAATGACATATGGCATAAATATACATAAATAAATGTAAATGTGAATTCAGTTAATTATGATATTAATTATAATGTTAATTTATTTTCATCTCTTATATGACTACTCCTGATTTCTGTCCAAAGAAATAAAAAGTATATAAACAAGAGTTTTGTTGTAGATATCATCCACGTGAAAGTTAACACTAAAAGAAAAAGGGAAAGATTTGTGCAGACAAGGGCAGACGATTATATATTATATTTAGTTTGATTAATATTTTCTTCAGTGCCACATGCCAACATAATGGAGCAGGGGTGTAGTTTCCAGGGGGGTTATGACCCCCCAATAATCAGACCCAACCAATATAACCCCCCCAGTAAAATTATGAATTATCTTGCATAAGTAGGCTGTTGATTTTCTTTACTCGTTTCAGCTATTACCAGCAAAACAGTTGCATGTTTAATCATCTGGCAATTTAAAAAGATTTATTTATTTATTTAGACAGAGATCTTGACCCCACCAATGTTCAGCACAAAGTTACGTGCCTTTTAGTGAAACTATATCAATTTGATACATCAAAGGCAAAAGAGAAAGTGTAGTCATTTTGTTGCGCTGTGAATATTTTTTATATAAATGTAAGGGGAGTTAAAATGTCAGGATTTTTAGATGTTCGAACATTGTCTCAGATTTCAGTGTGCGGAAAAAATGCTTTTCAAGTTGGTTGATGCACCATTTTTTAAGAATATGTGTATTAAGTATTAATATATGAAGCAATCACTCTTGTGTCCAAATTTATTACTGCAAAAATTTTATGTAAATGCATTGGGTATGCCAGATGACTCTCCCTATACCAGATGCTGACTTTGCATCTTTAGTACTAAAATAAATAAAAATAATCTGCCACCTGACAGCTGTTGGGGGCAGGAGCATTAGAACTGCAAGCTTTGCCCTTAGGTCCTTTGCTAGCAAACTGTCTACAACGTGAGTTTGTGTGTGTGTATGTCCGCAGATGTCATTGAGTAGCACAAGGCTCCAGCTGGTGGCTGTTACTCTGATCATCCTGATGGTTTTCTATGTCATATATTTCTCTAACGTTAATGAAAATCTGTTCAAGTTTTCCAGCGCAACAAAACTAAGGTAATAATTTGTATGTGTGTGTCTGTGTGTGTGTGTGTCTGTGTGTGTGTGTGTGTGTGTGTAAATCCCTCCTCATATGGCAGCGTTTGAAAGTGTTTTCATTAAATTGTCTTTAACACACACCACACGCACATGTAGAGTGCTTTGTATGACCACTTTGTTTGTGTGTTTTTGTTGCTGACCAGAGGTGAAACTGCATTTTATTTGAGGAAAGTTGGTATACTGCTATCCAGATGAAGCAACAGTCTTGTTACCCTTAATGCATCATTAAAATACTTTTTAGACTAGTCTCCCAAATTCCCATAAAATCTGAACTACTTGATTTAAATGACAATGTGATATAGAAGAGAATTTTGACCCTTTAGGAGTTCTGTATTTCCTTTGTTCTTCAGGTCAGTTTCTCCTAGGAACTTTTCATTGGCTCATCAATGTACCTGCCCTAAAGGCTCAGAACTTCTTAAAGATTATATAGCCAAGGATCAATACGAAGAGCTTGTTAAACGGCGAGCTAAGGACCTCCAACAGTACAAAACCAGGTAGAGGGTGGATGAATGAATGTTGTGTACTTTAACAGTAATGCAATGGCATTTGTAACTGAACATAATCAGTTGGTATCTTTGTAAACTGTAATTAATGTAGACACATTTGGCATCAAATATTACGCTTTGGGAGTGAGAATGTGTTGCACTTCAACAGCAGAGTTGCTTCGCTTAGTGCAGTCTGTCAGCGACTAGTAAAAAGGTGATACCTGTTTCTATATCTACCCACATTTCATCTCTTCATCAGGATGGTGTCTGCTGAACTATCCAGACTGCTGTTTGCTTCGCCTAACTCTCCTCTGCAGTATCCTATTCAAGGTTATATAGTACAGCCTTTGACCTCTACTCTCATACCAGGTATGCCAAGCCTAATATATGCAACAGACAAGTTTACCAGTGGTCTGTATTGTTGTGTATGTGCTGTATATTCTGTTGTGGAAGTTTTCCATTTAAATAAAGCCTGCAGACGAGCAGTAGCTAACATTCTTTAATCAAAACACACAAAGAACAGACAACCAAGCTTGTGGAGAGCCTACATGACCGCGGGACAGACGGTCAGCAGAGTCTCTCAGAGCCTAACATGGCTCTCAGTTAAATACCTTCTCCAGGAACAAAAGAAAGTACACAGCTGCTTCACACCTTAAGGTTCACACTCCCTTGCTACCTCCCAGAGTCCTCGAAGAGACAAAAGACTCTTCCTGTGGAGTGTCTGCTTCCCCCAACTTCCTTACTAGACCCCCACCATCTGTCTTACAGTATGGGTGTGGAACATGTTTAAATCTAGTGGCACCAAGGCATCACACAATAAAATAATGTGATTAATACATAAGTAAAAGAAATTCCTATACAATCCCTTTCTACTTTATTAGAAAAATGGTTAATAAATGTTGATCTGAGACTAAATTTGGTGGTATTTCTCAGATTATTAAGTAAACTTTACCGTAATACCTCTGAATTAGAGTCATTAGTGAGTCAAATTAACATGTAATTTCAGGAATTTTCCACGTTTAAGACATAATTAAAAGATAATTAACCAAGAGTGATAATGACCAGCAAACTTATACCTCAGCAAATGAGATGGCAAAATTAAATCTGTATTACAGCCAACATATTCACAGACAAGACAGTTGCATGAGGGTTTTAAGGAATTCATGTTGATCATTTATGCTTCAACAACGTGTCATGGAGTCTTCCCATAAAAGGACAATGTAAAAGTAATGTCATTTTAATTTCAGGTTTAGGGCTGCATGCAGAAAACAGAAGCAGCTACAAGGTTGGTGTTTCTCCCTCACAGCTAATATGAACTGTACAGGTTGGCTGGTTCATACAAGATGCCTCCTGAACATATACATTTCAAACATTAAGGGCCCTGATTCCCTGATTTTGTGGTCAATGTGTGGGGCTGACTGTAATTCAGCTTTAGGATAAATGAAAGAAAAAACACAAACCTCACTTATGGTCTGATGTACAGTATAAAATAGCATCTTTCTTTCCATCTTCAATAGGTATTCCAATGTTACACTGACATAGCATAATTTCATACACAGTTTATTTTTTTTGTAGACGACTGTATAGGATATTCTGGGGTAGGCATGGATATTCTGAGTGCTTTTTAAATTTATTCAGGCCTTTCTTTTGTAGGTATCTTTAAGTGTGTCTAAAGGCATCCTGACCACAAATATTACACCTGAACAGACAATCATCAAAGGTGAGATTTAGTAAATAAGTGACTATATTGTAGGGGGCATTTTTGTTTGATTGGTTTTTGGACCACACGCCAGATTAGCAGCAAGGGTCAGAACTTTTCAGCCATGTGGAGAAGAAAAACAATCTCTTACAAATATGAAATATAAAACATTTACAGCAGTCTTGTCATGGGCTGGGTCTGGGACCCAGCATTTTCTCTTCATTTTGCATTATTGATATGTACTGTAGAAGACATGCTAAGTTCTTGTTGTTTCTATCATTAGTTAGGATTGAGTTGTTTTGTATTTTGAAATTCTTTAGTCCTTGTTTATCTAGATCCTGTTGTGTCGTCACCCCTTATGTTCCAGTCTCCCTTGTTATCAAGTCAGTATTGTCTGCCTCCTGTCTTATTTTGAAAGAGCTTGGTTTTCTTTGTTCATTGTATTTAGTTTCACTTCCCCTGTCCCATTATTAGGTTCATGCGTGTCAGCTGTTTCCCTATGTGATTCCTGATCCCCCCCCCTTGTGTGTTTTTAGTCTGTGTTTTTCATTGTCTTCTCTTCGTCAGAACGTCTGTGTCACCACGTCTAGTCATAGCACTCATAGTAGTCACAGTCATCATAGAAATCATAGTCATCGTGATTAGTCACAGTTATCTTGTTTCGTTTTCCCAGTTTAGTTTAGTAGCAGTTTAATTTGTCGCCCAGTTTGCCTCGCATTATTTTGTATTCATGTTTATCAGCTAAAATAAAACGTCTCACTTTTGGTTTAACTCTCCGCTCTATCTCCTTTTGTGTCTGAACCTGGGTCCTTGTTCTCACGCTTGCACAATCAGCAGGTGTGGATCTAGAGAAATTTTCTTAGGGTGGCAGAGAAATCAAATGGGCTGGCAAAATCAAAGCCTTTTTTTTCAAACACATATGCAGATGGTTACAATGTTGTAATGATTCAAATGCATTAAGTATACACGCTTTTCATATAAATGTAATCTATAACTTAATTCTTTTCTGTAGCCCACATGATTAAACACGTTAGTTTGACATAAAATTCACATAAAACATGTGAATTTTGTTTTTATGTACTGTAGGTATACAGTGGGGCAAAAAAGGATTTAGTCAGCCACCGATTGTGCAAGTTCCCCCAC